CAGAACAAATATGTACTAAATGATATTTACTGAATAAGTGAGTGAATTTTCTTTTCAATAAATCCTCTTATTTTCCTTTCACATGTACTCTCTTATTCCTACTTTTATATGTTCACAGACATCTTATATTGTCTATTTAAAGAGCCTTCTTTATGCCATATCATTTGTTCTCACTTCTATTATGAAATCTTTTGAAATAAGTCAGCTAAGACCTATCTAGTCACTTGAACTGCTCTGGTACTTGTGGCTGTCCTGCTTTCCATTTAAAGGGATGCAATACAAGGTCAATCACCTTGTCAATTACCTTCTTTGTCACTTTCAGTACTGAGGCAGAGCCTTCTCTATACACTGAGTACTAACTAAAAAGTCTCTAATAAAATCTTCTCCAGTACATTATTTTAAAAGGGACCATCAAGATCCCTGCAAAAAATAGCACCTACAAATTAATAATATATGTTAGATTCAGAGATTAGTGGTCTTTGTTTTAACTGGATAGGAAATAAATAAAATAAACCTGTAGGATGTTTTCCCCCTGGCAGTGGGATTGTGCATATAGACAATTACTCTGCCACTCAGCTACACCTGCTTCCCCCATTTTTTTTTTTACTTTGAGACAAGTTCTCACTAAGTTGCCCAGCTGACCTTGAACTTGCAATCTTTCTGCCTCAGCTTTCCAACTAGCTGGGATTATAGGTGTGCACCACCATATATGTCAATTTTTTAAACTGAAGAGGATCTCCTATCCCTTTGCCAAATAATTGAATTTGTTAGTTATAGGTTAAACTTATTTCATGAAAATTTTGTTCTTTTTCTCATTATTGTCCTGTCACATAAAAATAAAACCATGGAATAATCAACAATAAGAAAGATAACATTCATACACATGCACCAAAGCAACGCTACCTCTCAGCTTGTTTGACCTACTAAACTGTTGCACAGGCCACTGGTGAGGACAAAGGTCAGGGTGTGCCTTGGAAGAACAGCACTAGATAAATAGCAGTAAAAACTCTGGAGAGGAAGGAAGCGTAGGCAGGACCTGCATTATGCCAATAAGAATGAGTAGCCAGTGTTGCTTTGAAAATTTTATAGTCTTTAAATTTAAATTGGGGTGATTTTTCTGACTCTTCTTACTCTGACCAGTCAGTATAGACACTCAAATCCAAAATATGTTACAGAAACCATGTTTGGTAGTGCACATCTGATTCCCAGCTGTGCTGATATAGGAAGACTGCAAATATGAGGCCAGCCTAGGCAAATTACTAAGAGTCTTTCTCAAAATTAAAAAGATAAAAAGGGCGGGTGTGTGTGTGTCCCCAGTGGTAGAGTACCCCTGGGTTTGATCCTCCAAATGTCATAGAAAAACAAAGTCAGGATGGCTGTCTTTTGGTAAGTCTTCTAGACTGAGGCAGGGAGCTTAGTCATGCTCCCTTTGCAGTACTCCAGCAGCATATCTGTCTGCGAGGACAGTTCTATGGCCTTCAGTCTCCTTCTACATGGACCTCAAATAGCAAGTAGGGATGAGTGATGTACCATCACCAGAAATACAGAACAGATAAAATCTGGTGGACTTTATGACTTAGCCCAAACATACAACTATCTTTTAACTGTAAAAAATATTTATTTCCATTGGGTTTTTTGAGACAAGGTTTTGCTGTTCTGCCCAGGCTGGCCCTGAACTCCTGGGTTCAAGTGATCCCCTTGCTCCAGCCTTCTAAGTAGCTGAGATTGTAGGCACATACAAAAAAGTTGTTTTCTATATTAGGTATTATAATTACAAAATTAATAATTTAGCTTGAATTTTTGAAAGTAAGCAGATTTCATTAAGCTTTACAAAAAATTTATTTTGTTAAGTTTATGAGAGTTGCTACGAAACACAATTCTTTGGAAAAAAAAGAGAGACAATATTGTGTTTACTGGGCCATGGGTGGATAACTGACAACGGATGATGTCACTAATAGGCAATTATAATGTCCAGCATTCCAAAACTATTTAATAATTTGTTTTGAAGAAATATAGCTTCCAAAGGAACAAAAGGAGAATCTAAATATGTATTGGATGGCTACATATCAAAATAAGGTTAAATGTATAAAATAAAGAAATTAATCCCACCTTAAAAAAGTATCAAATATTTTGTCTGCAACTCAAATACAGAAAGAGGTTAAAAATTTATTGGTAAATTAGGCTGCAAGGGTAGAGCACTTGCCTAGCATGTGTTAAATCCTGGGTTCAACCCCCTGTTCCACACACACACACAAAAAAAAAAAAAAAGAAGAAGAAGAAGAAGAAGAAGAAGAAGAAAAAGTTTATTGGTAAATGAATCATTTGGACTATTCACTACATTTGCCATGTAAAAAATTTCCTGTGGAAACATTGTAGAAAGTAGTTAGGCTTCCAGAGTAATCTATAAAGACTTGGATGAATATTAGATATATCTATGTCCATATAGCATAATGATGAAGGCATATGAACTTCCTAGAGCCAATAACCCCTTGATCCAGGCTTGGTCATGCTGGTTTGTCCCCAGCAGTATTTCTAATTGTTGCACTCTTCAGTCAGAATAGCTTTCTGGTCCTAGAACATCTTCTGGTAGGAGGGAATCCACTCATGTCTTTGTCAAACCTAGGTGGGTGGTATAGGTCAAGGGGCACTCCTTTCTAAATACCTATGCAGGAGTGAATGTTAACTGCCCCATTAGTCTCAGGGGAGGAATATAATTTTATCCTAACTACTCTTAGTCTTCAAACGTTTGTGGGTCTGAAACTGTTTAAAAGAATATTCTAATAAGTACTGAAATGAGGTTCAGCCTTAATCAAGTTCATGTGACCCAAACTTTTCCTATGTCTGGCTAGGCTCTCCAAACATCTGGGCAAATCCTCCCCTACTCACCCCAAAATGTATAATGTAATTACATTATAATACTGAACACCTTTTTTACACAAAAGGGAAGCATTTGCTACAATACACATCTATATGATCAATACAATGTTCCTGCATCTTCTCAGAGCCTACATATCTGTCTATGAAATATACTTCCAGGAAGACAAGTTCTTGAGCAGAGCTATTACTCATGTTCATGGTGCCACAGGAAATGCAAACAGGACACAGAGCTGAGGCCTGTGGGAAAACTAAAGTGAGTCAGGAGAAATGTTTAGTAAATTTTTACAATTTAGACTGGCTACACTAATGGCCAGGCACAGTGGTGCATGCTTGTAACCCCAGCAACTTGGAAAGCTAAGGCCAGAGAATGGCAAGTTTGAGGCCAGCCTTAGTCACTTAGTGAGACCTCTCTCAAAATAAAATAAAAATAAAGAGAGCTGGGGATGTTTCAGTGGTAAAGCAACCCTGGGTTCAACCCCCAAGACTGAAAAAAAAAAATGAATGGCCATACTAATGGTTATTATGCAAACCACTGGGGATGTCAATAAATACTTCAAAATCAGAATATTACATACTCATAATAGGTTCCTCCCTCTTCAGATACTAGTATAAGCTGATATTACTATAATTAAACAAAACATCAAGAGAGCTAAAGTAACATACTGTTTGAAGAAAGAGAGGTAACAAGATTAAGAACCCCCCAATCACTGTTTATATTAATTCATTATATTGATGAGCTAGTTCCATTAAAAATGTTTCTTTTTGCCAGGTGAGGTAGTTCATCCCTATAATCCCAGGCATGCAGGAGGTTGAAGCAAAAGGATCACAAGTTTGAAGCCAGCCTGGGCAACTTAGTGAGACTGTATCAAAATAAAAAACTAGAAAAAGAGATGGGCGTACAGCTCAGTGGTGAATCACCCCTGGATTCCATCTCTAGTGCCATACACACATAAAAAGTTTATTCTTTTCTCTAATTCATAGGTTAGGATGATTACTGGACATATAACAGCTGTGGTTTGGGCTGGATCTACACAGCATTACACCTCTGCCTATTCAAACATTTCAGTGTAAGATGCCATGACATTTGGCAGAGAATAAGCCTGCTTACTATGGGAAGCACAAAGATCCAACAACTTAAAGAGTTTTGCTTAAAGCTCATAAAATGTCTTTTTATTAAATTAGATTTTCATTTATATAAATTGTCATATAAAGATACTTTATTGTTAGAAACTGATACAGAAAACAAATCTTTAGAATTAAAACACATTTATACAACACTTCTTATCTTTTTATTTTCTTTTTCTCCTTGTTTTTTTTTTTAATTATGAACTAAGTGTCAGTGGTCATCAGCTTGTTCCAGGATGCTAAGCATTCTGGTGAGCTGATGAGGTAGATGTAGAAGACCATTTGAAAAGGTGAGTGTGGATGGTCTAGACTAGATAACTGGTCATAGTGTATGACAGGATCACTGAGCAAATAGATATGCCTGGGCATGTTGCTATCTCAAAACACTCCAACTTGAAACAGGATTTGAAGAAGCATAAGTAATATTATTGTCTCTATATTAATTTCTAGGAATGAGGGAATTAAGAAAAATGGAAACAAGGTCTAACTGATGGTGAAGCACATTTTTTATGCAAACAAAATGCTAATAACAGTTAACTTTTAAAGAAAAAAATTTTTAATTGTAGATGTACACAATACCTTTATTTTATTTATTCATGTGTGTGCTGAGGATTGAACCCCGTGCCTCACACATGCTAGGCAAGTGCTTCACCACTAAGCCACAACCTGAGCCTGTTAACATGTTTTATATCAGAGACACTTCATTCATCTCCTTTAGTCTTCATGAGTCTGGGAGATATAGATGTTTTTTACCTCCATTTTATCTTCTTAATTTTAATAAAATTATGAACCACTAAACTGCATAATTCTTTTTGTTGTTCAATTATAGTTTTGTCCTAGAGGTATATTATGGGTTCCACTCAATTCCTGGCCTTGTTTTACTGGCAAAATATAGGATGACCCTGGCTTATTGTCTTTAAAAATAATATTAGAAATAAGAGGTTAATCAAAAAACCAGCCACTGTAGCAAACTGGATGCACTTTCAGTGCAGCCTTACCTTCCTCTGGTGGCTTTCTGTAGAACCTTCATTCCTGCCAGCCTGCAGGACTTCCCTTCCAACTGTCTGCCCTTCAACATGGCACCTTCTAAGTACACTTCACCAAACATCCCATAGGCATCTTGCACCAGAAGGCAGACTCTGTAAGAAATCACAGTTGTTCTTTGAGGAGAAGTTTGGATTCATATAGAGATCAAGATCTGCCTTTCTTTCACTGGAAATCCACTGTATTTATCTTCCTAAATGGCTGAGTCAGGGGGAATGAAGTTAGATTTAAGGACGTACTTTTTGGACTTGTATAAACAGGTGTTTAGCCACAAAATATAGGAGACAGAATTTTTTCTTGGCACAAAACAAATCCCTAAGCTGAATGTGGTTGAAAAACACATAAAGATGACCATTTTCTCAAACCAAATATATTACTGCTGCCTAGAAACAGTCCTCTTTTTCCATTTTACCCTGTTCTCCATTAGAGAAGACCTTTCTACTTTATGTGAGAACTCAATACTGAGAAAAGCATCAGTGTAACATTATGATGAGAACAACAATAAGGAGCATTTTTTTGAGAAAGTATCTATTTACAGATCCATATCCCAGCAGGCAGCCACTTGGACATGATAGATATCCAGTGACAAGAAAGGATATTGCCCTAATTTTAAGTCAGATGTTGGTCTTCATCAAAGACTATCTATGACTGAATTTCCTCACTTCATAGTTCAGGTAAATGAAGTCTTATTTACTACAAAATGATACTTTTCATGGAGCCTAAAAATATTTATTCAGAAAACAGCATTACAAAATAGGCTATGGAACACAAAACTATTTTAAAGATAAAAGTATAATGGAAAAGAACAGATGACAAGCAAATAACAAGCAAAAGAAAGCAAAATCTGAAGCCATGAGCATCAACTTGTACCATGGCAAAAGGGTTAAGAATTCTAGACTCCCTGATGAAGGTCTCCCAAGTCCAAAAGGCACGATGGTTTGCAAGAGAAACAAAGGGAAATATTGAGAGCACCTTTAATTGGATTGCTAATTTGCTATGGAATGAGATTAAAAAAATGTGCTCTCATAAAAATCACCAAACAAGGAAATAAACCATTGTGTGCAAAGAGTCTGAAGAAAATAGTAGATCTGTTGAGGACTTAAGATAATATAATTTACAGAAAATTCAGAAAAAATTTTTTTTCCCAGTATTGGGGATTAAACACAGGGGCAATCTACCTCTGAGCTACATCCCAGCCCTTCCTTTTTAAATTCTATTTTAAAACAGGTCTCACTAATTGTTGAAGCTAGCCTTGAATTTGCAATCCTCCTGCCTCAGTCTCCTGAGTAGCTGGGATTACAGGCATGTGCCACTAGCTAGAATAATTTTTTTTGGTGGTGGTACTGGGCACTCTTATCACTAAGGTATATCCCCAACAATTCCTTTTAACTTTTTATTTGAGACAGGGTCTCACTAAGTTGCCTAAGCTGCAACTTGCAACCCACTTCCTTCTGCCTCACAAGCAGAATAACTATTTAAAAAGGTAAGAGGTAATTTTTTCCCCCAGAAAACAGATGAAAATTAAATTGTTTAAAAACTGGCTAAAATAATCCATTAAAAATAAAGATTTAGGGGCTGTAGCTCAGTGGCAGAGCGCTTGTCTGTGTGAGGCATGCGTGAGGCACTGGTTCAAGCCTTAGCACCACATAAAAAATAAATTAATAAACAAAGGTATTGTGTGTCCTTCTACAGCTAAAAAAATAAATAAAATAAAGATTCATCCAGGCACAGTGGCGCATGCCTGTAATCCCAACTGCTTGGGAGGATGAGGCAGAGGATCTTGAGTTCAAACCCAACCTCATCAATGGTGAGACACTAAGCAACTCAGTAAGACCCTGTCTCTAAATAAAATATAAAATAGGGCTGGGGATGTGGCTCAGTGGTCAAGTGCCCCTGAGTTCAATCCCTAGTACCTTCTCTCCCCCCACTCTCCTCCCAAAAGACCTAATTACCAATGATCAAAAATTACAGGGCTAGGAATTTCGCTCAGTGGTAAAGTGCTTACCTAGGAAGTGCAAAGGTCCTGGGTTCAATTCCCAGCACCGCAAAAAAAAAAAAAAAAAAAAAAAAAAAAAAATTACAAATGGCAGAGGAATTTATTAAATTACAACATAGTTATAATATCAGCTATATCTTTTTAATTTTTTATATCTTTATTTTTTTTAACATGGTGCTGAATATTGAACCCTGTGCTTCACATGTGTGAGGCCAAGTGCTCTACCACTGAGCTACAACCAGTCCCATTCAGCTACATTTTGACCATGGGTAACTACAGAAAACCTATCCAGTTTCTTAGATAGGCTGCAAACTATAAAATTAAAGAGATGGGAGGGAGAACACATGGATTGAAAGAAGCAAAATTAGTCTATATAATGATAAATATTTGAAGAAATATGAGATTAAGAGATTACTATGAGAACCAGGGTATGATTGAGAAGGAGCTGGTAGATGGCATATGGGTATTTTTATTTCTTGTTTTTAGATATACATGACAGTAGAGTGTATTTTGACAAATTATACATATATAGAGTACAATCCATTCCAATTAGAATTCCATTTCTGTGGGTATATATAATGTTGAGTTACACCGGTCACGTATTCATATATGAGCAAAGGATAGTTATGTCCAATTAATTCTACTGTTTTTCCTATTCCCACCCCCTTTCTTTCTCCTTTGTCTAATCCAATGAACTTCTATTCTTTCCCTCCCTATCCCCCTTGTTGTGGGTTAGCATCCACATATCAGAAAGTATATTCAGCTTTTGTTTTTTTGGGATTGGCTTATTTTACTTAGCGTGATATTCTCCAGGTCCATCCATTTAGCAGCAAATGCCAAAATTTCATTCTTCTCCATAGCTTCATAATATTCCAGTGTGTGTGTGTCTGTGTGTCTGTGTGTGTGTGTGTGTATTACATTTTTTAAAAAAATTTATTCATCTGTTGAAGGGCACCTAGTTTGGATCCATAGCTTGGCTATTGTGAACTGAGCTGCTATAAACATTGATGTGGCTGTGTCACTGTAGCATGCTGATTTTAAGTCCTTTGAATATAAACTGAGGAGTGGGATAACTGAGTGAAATGGTGGTTTCATTCCAAGTTTTCTGAGGAATCTCAATACAGCTTTCTATAGTGGTTCCACCAATTTCAGTCCTACCAGCAATGTATGAGTGAACATTTTTCCCCACATCCTCGCCAACATTTATTATTACTTTTATTCTTTTCTTTTTTCTTTTTTTTTTGGTACCAGGATTGAACCTCAGGGACTCTTAACCACTTAGCCACATCCCCAGCCATTTTTATTTTTTATATAGAAACAGGGTCTTTCTGAGTTGCTTAGGGTCTTGCTAAATTGCTGAGGCTGGCTTTGAACTCTTGATCCTCCTGCCTCACCTTCCCAGCCACTGGGATTACAGGCATGTGCTGTGCTTCCACCCCCAGCTTGTTACTTGTGTTCTTGATAATTGCTGTTCTGACTGGAGTGTATGGAATCTCAGTGTAGTTTTAATTTGCATTTCTCTAATTGCTAGAGATGCTGAATATTTTTTCCATATATTTTTTGACCATTTGTATTTCTTCTTTTGTGAAGTGCTTGTTCAGTTCCTTTGCCTATTTATTGATTGGATTGTTATTTTTGGTGTTAAGTTTTTTGAGTTCTTTGTATATCCTGAATATTAATGCTCTCAAAAATAGGGGATGGGGCTGGACATATAGCTCAGTTGGTAGAGTAGCACTTGCATTCACGAGGCCCTGGGTTCAATCCCTGACAACACTAAATAAATAAATAAATAAATAGGGACAAGAAGCTATACAAAATGACTTGGGAGGTTTGTGGAAGAATAAAATAGAACTTTCAAAGAAGAAAGAAATATTAGCTGGGGAGAAGGCTAGAGAAATAGATCACAGAATGAGAAGGTCTAATCTATGCCTACTAGGAATCAGAAGAAAAAAATGAAGGAAGGGGAAGCAATAACTAAGTTAAAATCTAGTAACTGATTTTTTTCTCAACTAATGTGAAATAAAAGAAGAAAAACAAATACCAGACAGGACAGCAAAAAGGAAAACCATTCTAATACATACAATGTAATGAAACTAGAGAACACCAAAGACAGAGAGAAGATTTTTAAAAGAAAGAAGCACACAGATAAGATTTATATATTTTATATTTACCTGGATTGATTAGCATCTTTTAACAAGATGTGCACAATTAGAAGATTTTCAAAAACCATCTTCAGATAAATTAACATTTACTTTCCATCAACTTACTCAAAAATCATGAATAATTGGGCTGGGGTTGTGGCTAGGTAGAGCACTTGCCTAGCACATGTGAGGCACTGGGTTTGATTCTCAGCACCACAAAAACAAAAAAACAAAAAACCATGAATAAAATCAGAAGCCCAGTGTAATATTCTGAAAGCCTTCTCAGAACTGTGTAGCAGCAAAACTATCTTTCAAATATTGTGATAAATAAAGATATTTTCAGATAAAGAAAAATTAGGAGCAATTTCCACCTACAGCCTGAGATATTTGCTAATTATTAAGGCAATTACTAAAATTATTTTAATTATATACTTTAGGAAAAAGAAATTATCATGGAAAAAGGGTCTCAGATGTAAGAAGGACTAGTAATGAAAAATATAAATAAATGAAAATGATAGGATAAAATAACAGCACAATCAATAATATTAATTAATAAGGAGAGCAGAAAATAGAATGGATAAAATATGAAATGGATACCATAAAATTCAAATTGAGGGGGAGGTGACAAGTTTAAATGTTCCCAAATTCTCATATCACTCTATGTCTAAAGATATTAACTTAAGTATAGTAAGTGTGGTATAATTTCAAGGATAAACTCTTAAAGTAAGAGAAATAGGAAATATCACTTCCAAATTACTGGTGGGGAAAAAGGAATGAGAAATATAGGCAAACAAATGAAAATAAGAAAACATGGGGAGACAGCATAAAAAAGGCAAGAAAAATTAAGGTAATAAATTAGGTGATAGACATGTCTTTGTATATTAGAAATAAAATTAAAATGACAAACTTGACAGTCAAAGAATTTGTGATATTGTTTGAAGGAAGAAAAAAATGTTTT